GAGAGAGAGAGAGAGAGAGAGAGAGAGAGAGAGAGAGAGAGAGAGAGAGAGAGAGAGAGAGAGAAAGAGAGAGAAACGTACGACCTCATGAGGAGAGCAGTTGTTCTTATCATTGGCCACTCAAAGCGCTAACTATTTAAAGTTTGTAGGGGCGTCTCTGGTACAGAGCCGAACAATCAAGTTGGCCTGTTGGAGGCCAACGCTGTCAAGGGATCTGCCAGCATCACACGCTTTGGTGGTGGCTCGTGGTCGGATCTCATGCTGTCGATGGTGTGCCAACTAATAACTCATGCAGCAGTCCCTCTTGGCTTCTGACTTGTTCATCAGAACAAGTAAGAAGAAGGCCCGGCCGGAGATGCAAATTTCAAGAAAAGAGGAGACAACGCCACCAAGACGGGTGACCGGAAATGGATCGGCTTGGCTCCATATCAACAAGGAGATGGCACAGACAAAAAAGTCTTTACTAATGAGCTACTTGTTACGTTATTTTGGGGCGCATGCTGTTGACTCGGGTTCAGTCTTGTGTTGGCAAAGCTGTCGAGTTGTAAACTCTGTGTTAAACGCATTGTTTACTGATCCTTGGTCATGAAGAATGAAACTAGTGTGCAAATGCAGCATCATGGCCATAGAAACCCAGTTGTCATTGGGAATACATACCTTATCCGCACCCATCTATGTATATAATGCCGAAATGGGCAGCTGGTAGTGGGCATGGCTGAAGCCACGGCGCTATTGTCTCAGCTAAACTCGTCCTATATCTCTCATGTGAAATTTAAATTAATCCATGGCTTTGTAGTGATGCCAGGAATCAACAATCAAGTCAATACGACCAATAATAGAGGCATGGCTTTTTTTTTCTTTTTTTTCTCTCGTAACTACCATCGTCAACTTGATCTACATCAATCAACCCTGCATCGGCAGCATGGCGCTCCGAAGGGGTCAAGGCGGGTGCAGGCAGAATACTACCCTGTGGCTGAGTGGGACACTGTCATGGTTGGCTCCTTTTCTTATTACATACGAATCAAAAAGTCTATTGTCTAGAGGTCCAGGCCCTTGTGCTCTTGTGGCAACGCCTTGTCTTATACCCGGCGGCGTGCTTACTCAACGAATACCGTTGCCCATCCGAGCCAAGGTTACGAGCATGTCACTGTGGCTGTCAGTGACATGCATCTATGGAGTTTGTTGGCGTAATTCGCGACAAGAGCCACGGCCCTGATTCCGGGGTTGGACTTTTGAGCCATGTCGCATGCATGTCACTCCTCCAATATGTACTCTGCACTCCGACCGCCACCCCGGTGCAGCAAGATGCACGGCGGCCGCCGCGGGGAGGGGGGAGGGGGGGGGGTCCGTGTTGTGGTTTCCGGTCGTTCGGTC